ACTAGTAGTAACAAGAAGCTACTAGTAACAAGTGCATCGCTACTAGTGACAGGTGCCTTACTAGTAGTAACAAGAAGCTACTAGAAACAAGTGCGTCGGAGCCGGTTTCAGTCGGTCGTTGGCCTGGTGCTTCTCGGTGCCTCTCGGTCGGAGTCGGAAGGCGACCTGGTCCCAGCTGTCGTTCGCTGTCAGGGTACCGTTTCCGGTGCACTGCTGGATGTGAGGCCTGACTGCTGCAATGGGAAAACTACAGAGTTCCGGTTGAGGTGTACGATGAATCGTGAAGAGCCATACAGATCCATGGGCAACAAGGTAAGCTATAGGTGTTCCTGTTTGATTCGAGCATGCGAGATACAAAGCGTTTGGTTAAAAGCAAGAAAAAGAAAGAAAGAAAGAAAGAAAGGTCCAGAAGAAGGATAATTGGCAAAGAAAAAGCAAAGACAGAAGAACTACATCAAATATCTCAAGTGTTCATACTGTTTGTTGCTGGGGTAGTCTTCTCCAAGACTAGACCCCCCGGCCTGAACAAGACCTTCTGTTTATCATCAAGCACAAGCATGCAATTGTCCCTTGGGCAAGCCCATAAAGCGAGGTCTCTTCATGGTGAGGATTCTGCATGTGATCCCTGATGAGGGTCTTTGCCATGTTCTGGACTTTCCATATTTCCCAGTCATGAAAGTCTTGGTAGAAACTACATGAAGCTCTCCACCAGGGGTCTCCCCCATGTGGCGATGTCTCCAACGACAGAATCTTCTTCACGTCTCCGTTGTGAGGACTCCTGTGACACCATCACCTATACCGCGGAGTCCGATGTTTCTGTGATCTCCTTCTACGCCCCATGGACGGAATTTGGTCGCAGGTCACAGGACGCCCCTGTGCTTTTTCGCGCACGCGCGGCGGGGGTAGGCCGCGACAGCACCTACAAGTAGCTACCCACCTGACTGGACGCAGGACAGCTCGCGCTTCTTCAAGGAAACTCCCCCTGCCGCCCTGGCAGGTGGCAGGAGAAGCTTCCTTGAAGAAGCGCTCGCACTAATGATTTGGTTTCTAGATTTTTAGGGAAACTTAAGGTATAGATAGCGTTGGATTCTTGACAAGCGAATGTGTTGACGACGCTAGTCAAAGAGAGGACAGTGCCTGCTTTGCTGGTTTCTTTGCTTTCTTCGTTGCTGATCAGATGTCACGGCTGGTGCTTGTCCAGTTCAGTTAACTCCATCCGATACATCCGATCTTGTTGAGGCCTCCCACATCATCACTGCCGGTGGATTGGGTGGCTGTGCACCTTGGGCCTGTGCTCGGGCGTCGGGGCGTTCGTCTTCTTCGACGGTCGGAACAACGCTCAGCAATAGGGTTTTGTTCAGAAACAGTCATCCACACTCCGAAGAGGGCCGAGAAGAAACCATGATTCAGGACGAACAGCAAGCCAGACGGCCTCAGATCTTGTGACCACACACTTGGCTGCGCTTCGCGAGAAAGGCTGTGATACCGGGAACCATGTGAATGTCTGGAAGGGGCGAAAGGTGAGACGCTCGGCTCGCCTGACACCAGCGGAGCAAAAGTTGTAGAAGCTCCAGTTCTCAAAGTGGAGAAGAACACTTAGCGTCCGATCTCTTGCTGAAGAACTCAGAGCCACCCGAGCGTCGTCCTGCATTTGGCTGGTCTTTTGACAAGAATGAATGAAGGTGACGGTTGTGACAGTGAATCGGTTCAGCACCCAATTAATCCATTTGGCAGATTGCCACATCAATGGCAAACCGTTTGGTGATCCAAGGTGATGTTCAATGATGAGGCGCTCAAGAGGAGATGACAGGGGCGACATGGGGAGACGTGCAATGATGGACATGACATAAAGGACTTCCTGAAGGGAGAAGCGATCTGCCTTGTGATTTGGATTTGGCAGGAAAAATCCAAGGGGGTACAACCTACTCAGCAGCAACACAAACTTTTGCTAAACGTTTGAAAGTTCTAGAGGCTTCAATTCTTCACCCTCCGATTTGATGCGGTTCATTCGCAGCCTGAAGCAATGTGCAGATTTCACACCTGGCTCAAGAGAGCGCAGTTGAGCGATTTGACAAAGATTTTTTTTCCAAATCGACATTTGATAAAGCGCTAGTAACAAGGGCATCACTAGTAGTAACAGGGGCATCGCTATTGGTAGCTAGAAGCTACTAGTAACAAGGGCATTACTAGTAGCAAGAAGCTACCAACTAAAGCAAAAAAGAGAAAAAGGGAGCTTACTTCCAAGATGCCCAATCGGGCCGGCTGCTTTTTCTTCAGCTGGCGCTGGGACACTGCTCATGTCATTCATGGTGTTATCGAATCCGAAAAAACAAATTGGGAATCTGAACAACGAAAAGAAATAGCGATGCACTTGTTACTAGTAGCTTTTTGTTACTACTAGTAAGGCACCTGTTACTACTAGCGATGCACTTGTTTCTAGTAGCTTCTTGTTACTACTAGTAAGGCACCTGTTACTAGTAGCGATGCACTTGTTACTAGTAGCTTTTTGTTACTACTAGTAAGGCACCTGTTACTACTAGCGATGCACTTGTTACTAGTAGCTTCTTGCTTCAGTTCCGCGAACATGACCCGAACACGTAGTGAGGCCAGGAGCCCCTAGTAGCGTCCTTGTTCCTAGTAGCGATGGGTTCCTAGTAGCTTCTTGCTCCTAGTAGCGATGCCAGGAGCCCCTAAGGAGCCCCTAGTAGCGTGAAAAAAAAGATTGAATGTAAGATGACAATTTTGAGCCCCTCAGACATGGATTGTACCTCTTCAGGCCTCGCGGGTTTGATGAATCAAGATTCTGGGAGTCAACAGAGTTTACTTTCGTTTCTCACCTTCCTCCAAGCCAAGCGGGTGAACCCTTCGAAGATGCATGCGCGCTGGTCGGTCCTTCTCACCAGGAAGGCGCTGATGTTTAGGGATTGGGGCCGGATCGGCAACAACTCGGAGGACGGGACCTCGGGATGGAAGAAAAGGCCAGGGGGAGAGCTACGTTCGTAGCGTCGCTTCTCGCTCCGTTCGTAGCGATGCCCAAAATGTTCCGTTCGTAGCTTCTTGTTCCTAGTAGTAAGGCCAGGAGCTACTGGTAGCATCCTTGGAGGTTCATGAAGTTTCTCCCTGAGAATATGATGTTAAACAAATTAACAAATACAGTAAAACCACTGGTTTGCACTGACCAAGGTTCTTTGCAGTCGGGATGGTACGAGTTGTCGTTGTTGGACGGTTGTTGCTCTTGGTGAAGCGGGTACTGGGTTCATAGAGCAGAGAAGGTGGTATTACAAGCACCTCCTGTCCATTTTCTTGCGGCCGTTTGAGCAGGCCAGCTGATCTACCAAACACTCTACTTGTTTCAACACTCTGGTTTGGGATCGACTAGGTCTGGTGCGGGGGTTTACTGGATCCGACTCCCCTTTCTCCTCCAGAGGGAGAGGTAGTATGCGCTATACATTGAGCCTTGGTGCGTACGTTACCTAGTGTCCACAATTTTTCAGTGCGCCGGTTACCCCCGGCCACACCTGCACACCGATTCTCACCATCAATCGGTCCAAACCTCATCATTTTGCTTACGCAGCTGCAATGAACATGTTTGGTCAGACAGCACCTCTTCTGCTTAGGACCTCGGATAAGTTGCACACGTGAACGACCCAGACGGAGTATCAAGTGGGCATTTCCGTGAGCCCATTCAATATCAATTCAATCATACTTTCAAGACATTTCTCGGGTTCAAAGCTGGTCCCAACGCACGATGGCAGCAGGTGACGCACCGTACTGCAGCGTCGGCCGGCCAGGACATGTCTGAACGTTTTGGGCATAGCGTCGATGGCATTGAGTATGACTTCAAGTTCCTTTATGGTTGTGTAGGCGCGGAGAGGAAAGCGGTTGGACTCATCTTTTCACCTACGTAGGCTGGACGAAGAAGTGCGACGAAGAAGCGAGTTGTTTGGCCAGTGCCAGTCGCTGACCTTCAGGAAAGGGAACAATACAACGAACACAAGCCCTCCCCGTCCACCCGAAGTTCCCTTTCTCGGTGCGAAGTGAGCAAGACTTGCTCCGTTCGTAGTAAGGCCAGGAGAGCTACGTAGCCTCGTCGCGATGCCGCACAGGTTGGAACATGAAGGCCTGCGAGATGAATGCAGCCTTCGGCCTGGCACAGCTGAAGAAGTTGGAGCACTTCAAGGTGACGCGGTGTCCACTGACGACTGAGCTGGAGAAATGGGCGTGTCACCGACGACTGAGCGTGGTGGACTGAAAGCTCATCAGATGCCAGAAAGAACCAGTACTGGCATCATTAACAGTTTCTTGTCATTCAATCGCATCAGGATAGCGGCTAGCATGTATGTTAGTATTTCTACCAGCATGTGCAGTGTAGACATGTGCAGTAAGTGATGTGCTACGCCCTACATCATCCTTTACGTATACCAACACACCTGCAACGGCCTGCGCCGTGCGTTGCGCACCTGCAGGCCATCCGCCGAAGAAACATCGCGAGATATTGTTCCTTGGCCGATGGTCATTAGAAACAATAAGCTACTAGGAACAAGTGCATCGCTACTAGGAGCAAGGGCCTTACTAGTAGTAACAAGAAGCTATTAGAAACAAGAATTAAGTTAAATTCAATTAGCGCTCTTGTTACTAGTAGCGATGCACTTGTTCCTAGTAGCTTATTGCTCCTTGGCCCATGGTCATGAGACATGCGTAATTTCACGGTTGCCGAGGCCATCTTCTGCAGATGATCACGTCGGCAAGGAGACAGGTAATGTAACCTATTTTAATCTTAGAACGCCTCACTTAAGGATTTTACTTGCGGAGCTGGGCCAAACCATCCATGGCAAGATTCGGTGTTTGCTGTAGGGGTCCACCATGGTGAACATGCTGAATCCGTTCGATGTTTTGCTGAGGTGAAAACTTGCGGAAGGCGCAGACACGCTGGGGATCTCCAGACAGAGAGAGAGAGAGAGAAGGAGTGGTCGGTCAGGACCCGTCAGAAGTTTTGTGAACATTTTGTCGTGTCCGCTCCGGCCGTGAGCACCGAGGCTATGTCCTTCCTCATGAAGCTCACCAATATGTTCCTCGACCTTTCGAAGCGAATGCGCTGGGATCATACGATCATTCTTGTGACGAGCAGCGATGGATGTGCAGACTTGGCCACAGCGGTCGTTCACGAGGTACCAAAACAAGTGTCCAGGCTATCCAACTAATCAACTAAAGCACGAAGTCAAGCATGTGAAACATCTACAGCAAATGATACCCTTTTGCTCCTCTTTGTCATCGCAAAGTTGCTGAGTGTCATTTCGTTGTGGTCAAGCAGGAATATATACAAAGTTTTTCGATTGAATACATACTTTGACATTTTGGCAAGCAGTAACAGCTCCAGACCGCTTCCAAGACTGTTTCCCTTTGTGCATGGAAAGCATGTCAAAGCTTTGGACGGACTTGTCATTTCTCCCAGTTGAGGGATGATCCTTGTGCAAGGACTGGTTAGCTATGCCGCTGCTCTATCACGACCGCAAAGGTGTTTTGCGGTACCTGGAGAGCAGCTTGGTGCCAATTGAACCCTTTAAACGGGCTGGTGATATTGCTGCAGTGAAGATCTTTCCAGGACTGAGTGCCCCAAAGCAACACAAATTCTGAGAATAGATGCAGTTTCCTGATGTGTCCTGTACTCTTCCAGTTTTTTTATGGGGAGAACTTGCGAGTGCGACCCCCAACTCCTGGCTGTGCACCCCTGTCTTCCGTTTTTGTGCGTCCCGGTCTGGGGGTGCGACAGCCATACCGCAGTCCGTACCTTTGCGTACAGTAACAAGAAGCTATTAGTAGCTCCTGGCCATACTACTAGTAACAAGAAGCTACTAGGAACAAGTGCCACGCTAGTAGTAACAGGTGCCACGCTACTAGTAACAAGAAGCTACGAACGGGGCTCCTGGCCTTACTACGAACGGAGCATTCTTGCTACTAGGAACAAGGATGCTACTAGTAGCAAGGTGCCTTACTACTAGTAACAAGAAGCTACTAGTAGCTCCTGGCCATACTACTAGTAACAAGAAGCTACTAGGGGCTCCTGGCCTTACTACGAACGGAGCAAGAAGCTACGAACGGAACATTTTGGGCATCGCTACGAACGTAGCATTCTTGCTAATAGGCACGAAACGCATTGGGTGATAACTGATCTGGGCATGTGGCACTCCCAGATGAGAGAAAGGGCCAAAGACTGTTCTGCTTGAAAACCTGTAGCAATAAACTGGATCAAAGTGGATCATGGTATGCAAAATTTGACCAGAAACTTTGTACTAGTCGTCTTTGGCAGCATGTTTGTGATCCTTTCCAACTCAGAATCAAAACGCAAGCTGCATGGATCCTGCAAAGCATGTCCCATCAGTGTCTTCGTGCAGGCAACGAAGTGCAGATTCGGGTGTTCTTTGCAGGCCACTCTTGCGCCGAGGTGTAGAAGATTCTCATACTCCTTGTGAATCTCATACTCCTTGTTGTTTAGCCCGCTCCCCCTTCCCTACTTCATTAAGTAGGCCCCTGCTCAATTAAGCAAGGAAGGAAGCTCCCCGGGGGGAGCTTCCTTGAAGAAGCGCTCGCACTAATGATGTGGTTCCCAGATCTTAGGGAAACTTCACAAATGTTGTTCTATTTAATAGCTTTTTGTTACTACTAGTAAGGCACCTGTTACTACTAGCGTGGCACTTGTTCCTAGTAGCTATGTTGTTCTATTCTCTATTTTCCTCTTTTTGCTATTAGGTTGGAGGCCATCGCTCTTAGGTTGGAGGCCACCCCTACTAGGTTGGAGGTCGTCGCTATTAATTAGTCGCTTATACCATGCAACAATAGGTAGCTGTAGAGATGGAGATTTCGTCCGTTTGCACATGCCACTCCAAAGTTTGCTTCAAGGAAAGCTTTTGAAGGAAGTTCCTAAACCTCCCGTTTTTGCTATAGTATATATACCCCGATACTGGACCAGGCGCCTCATCGACATTAATCCAACGTAGCCTCCCCACCAAGAAAAGTAGGACCCGCTACAAGACAGCGGGAAAGGTATCTCGAGATTAGATCTCTTCGCAAGGAAGCAAGAAGAACAGAAAAAGGACAAGAATGATCCAAACCACAAAGGACAAACCGAAGAAGAAAGAAGAAAAGAGAAAAGAGAAAAGGAGAATCGATGTTCAATAAACATACGCGGCGGTGCCCTTTCGATTGCGCAGGGAACATCACGCGGCATCCAGCTTATCGGCACTACCTGCAAGCCTTCCCTGGCGCCGATCGAGTCATGAAGGAAAGACCCGCGGTCTCGTGTCATTTCGCTCTTCCTCGTTTCCGCGGAGGGTGTGATCATTGGAATGTTGGGTTTGGAATTGGTATAGTGAGAATCGATCATTCATTGATTTATGGGGATTGTTGTATGTTACTGTTCTTGTTTCTGTTCTTTTGATGGGCCATTTTTAGGATCATGCATCATGTCATGTGGATGTCCAATGAGATGTGATGAAATGTTCTATCTCCGCAGAGCAAGCTTATTGCACGGGAAAGCGGCGGACTCCATGTGGGGCATAGGAGAAATGGGGATCAAAGACGCAAGAGGACTCACAATGGTGATAGTGCTCGCAGAGCAATGCAGGGGACGCAACAACATCCTTTGTTTATAAAGAAGATGGTACTCCTTTGTTTCCTCTCACAATCAAGAAGCTACTAGGTGGAGGCCATCGCTCATAGGTTGGAGGCCGCTCTTAGCAGCAAGGTGGTACGCCTTTGTTTCGTGTGACAATCCTGCGCAGAGCCGCCAGCACCTGCCCAGCTGCGATGACAGGAGGGTTTTCTCATCGGAGCTCACCATGGCCTTGAGCTCTCGGACGTGGATCGAGTGTGCGAGCTGTTGATCATGCACCATGGAATGCGGTCATGCCGAAGTCGTTGAAATGACCCGTTTACCCCTTGATTGAGTCGATGATTTGGCCGGGTCATCAAGTTAGTTGAGGGATGCCTTGCGGTGAGTTTCAGATGCATAAAAATAGCTGAGCATGCATCTCAGATACTGGTAGCCGTTGAATTCCATATAGCCTCATGAAGTACCTCAAACTTCCCCCTCCTTCTGACACTCCTTTATCGTGTTCATTTCGGAAGGGCTCATGCAGGTAACCAGGCTTTTACTCTTGGACTTGGTTCCACAGCTGTTGTGCTTTAAAACTTCTCGTGTTTGTTGTCCTTTGTCAGTGCTTTCTTGTTTATTCTAGACATATTTAGACATGTTTAGAACGTGTTTAACCGTTTGCCATTTCCTTTTTCTTTTCTTGTTCTAGTCACCACTAGTCATGCAGGCAGATGATTTTGCACCACAGGCTTTGCTCCTAGTCGCAACTTTGTAAATCGAACCCTAGGGACGCGACGCATATGGAGATAGATTTCAGGTAAAGCAACGAGACGGATAGCGGATAGACTGTTGGGTTGGGTGTGCGTGGGCCAACATGGAAGAGCAGCGATGCTCTGAGAGTTTTGCACCTTTGCAACAGTGGCGCACTGCATAATTTGGAGCGAACATAACATAGTTGTGTGTGTGTGTGTGCAAAAACTGTGAACTCGATCTTCCAAAAACAGGCAGGTGACAGACATTGTATTTTTGTATAAGGTATTCCTGCCCCGGAAGCGTTGTGTTCGCCGTTCGGTAGAATTGATTTGGGATACAGAATTTAAAAGAGAAATTATGAATAAGGAGAAAAAAGAAAAGGCAAAAAGGTCCGAAGAAACATAAAATCAAGAAGGAAAACATGGAAAGAGGAAAAGCAATAAAATTAAGAAATCATGGCGATAGACATTTCACGCTTTCAGCTGAGGTATGATCGAGCGCGACTTGACTGCGCTGGTGTGGCCAGCTTCGGGCTGGAAAGTGGCGGGTACGGGGCCGCTTTCACATGTTTCGCTCAGGTTTTGCGGATCCCATGGCAGCCCCTAGTAGCGTCCTTGTTCTTAGTAGTAAGGCCAGGAGCTACTAGTAGCGTCCTTGCTCCTAGTAGCGATGCCAGGAGCCCCTAGTAGCGTCCTTGTTACTAGTAGCTTTAGTGGCCACAGAGCGCAAACACTCTACTTCAATGATCTTGGTTGTCCAGCTGGACAGCATCGGTTGTTTCTTTGTCCAGGTAATGCTGGCAGTTTGACTCCTTTGTTGCTCTTCCTGTGTCTACGTTGACACTGCTTTGCACTCACCTTGTCACCGTATCAAAAAATGTAAACGAAATACACTATGAAACACACTAGGCAACTCTCTGAAGCCTGGACCGTACATAGTCATAAAACGGCTATCCCGTTCCATTCTTCAAGCACGTCCTATTGCCATTAGATTGGAGGCCATCGCTAGTAGGTTGGAGGCCATCGCTGTTCGATTGGAGGCCATCGCTGTTCGATTGGAGGCCAAAGCAATTAGGTTGGAGGCCATCGCTAGTAGCTTGGAGGCCAAAGCAATTAGGTTGGAGGCCATCGCCAGTAGG